AAAATTCTGAGCTACTCAATATTTGATACTACTGCTCTCTCTTGTATTAAAAGTTTCTAGACTGCATTCATTTTAAACGAAGGACTTTGAAGTAACTCATTGAACTACTGCTTTATGTGTCCTTTGAAACACTAAGCTAGTGACAATGTTTTTTTTTAATTATTCAAACATGATACATACATATATTTCTGTCACGCCTATCTCCCATTAGGGTAGGCAGAAACAATGGAATGCCAAATGTTTTAAATATTATAATACATATTAAGTATTATAAACAACATTTTTCTTTTACGCAACTTAGAATAGCAAGCAAGTTGACGGCCCACCTGTTAGGAAATGTTAACCGTCGCCTATAGACATGAGCAGTACCGTGGACATAACAGAGTATACTGTTTCGCCCATGATACCCCTCATGCGTTACCATTCCTGAGAACTCAGGTGTTATTCCTCTGTACCCTGTAAATTCACTGCCATATCCCACCCTTTAAACCTCTAAACTTCAAATTTAAACAAGCCTATTTTTTATATTTGTTTAAATTTTTATTCGTTTAGTTCTATTAAAATCATATTGTATATAACTAAAATGAACTAAATGGACAAAAAAGTCAGTCGTGTTCTACTGCTTGTAGGGTGATAGAACTAAACCGTAGAATTAGACGGATATAATCTTATTTTTTTATACAACTTAGAATGGCAAACAAGCTGACGGTCCACCTGATGGAAAGTGGTAACCGTCGCCTATAGACATGAGCAGTACCATGGGCATAACAGAGTATACTGTTTCACCCTTTGATACCCCCCATGCGTTGCCATTCCTGAAGACTCAGGTGTTATTCCTCTGTACCCTGTAAATTCACGCCATATCCCACCCTTCAAACTGAAACACAGCCATGCAAACACAACTGCTTCACGGTTGAAACACGAATGGGACAGAGGTACCCAAGCAATCGACTTTTGTACAAAGTCTCCCTCTGGTAATATATGGATACAATCTCTCTTACTTCCTCCGCATTCATTAATCTTTTCATACACATCCAATACATCCAATTATGAATGTCTGAGATTTAGTTTTGAATTCGATCTTTGGATCCCGGACCGCGAATGTTGTTGGTCTAACTTGTCACCGCTAACATCGACATTCTTAGACATTATTGACTATTTAGCTTTGGCGCTGCAAATTTTATGTGGAACAATGGCTAGGTAGAAGAAAATACTTCTACTTCGGAAGGGGACACATGACAACGCTATATTAGTTTACTTGTGACCACAGCCAATGTAACATGGTCGAAGCGTGTAAATAATTTAGCTAAATTATCACTCACAAATTGATATCAGCTGTTAACCGTGCACTACTATTATATAGGCTTCCTCCTATTGGGGGGTTTTGCCAGTAATGGTCACACTCGGCAGCGTATTTAGACTTTTAGTGATATTTTAAGAAGGATCCTATTGCTACTGCGCATTATGCTTCCGAGTGGTCCCGGCATAGAATAGGTCACCCCTTCCTTTCACTTGGGTGCCGTAAGAGGCAACTAAGAGAGAGCGAGGGATGGGGAGCAGCGTCTTTCTCAAATCAATCAACATCACCAAAGTTTATCTGCGGTTGCCAATTTGCCTGACAAGCTTGGCAACTGCCAAATTCCCCCTGGGCAAGGATTATGTTCAGCATTGGACAAATAAAAGCTGATATGATGATGATGTGTACTTATATACATATGTCTTCTCTTTTATATATTTCTCTAGGGCTCTTCTCAATATAAAACAACTTTCCAAACTTTGCAGTATATTTAAAAAAAAAATGACGATATAAAAGTACTTGTAAGCAAGTTTATTCGAATAAAGATAATTTGAATTTGAGAGTATGGAAATATAACACTATATTCCTTTGGAATGGTAATGCATTAGGGGTATTCTGTGAAATCCATGGTGCTATTCAGGACTACGAGTGATGGTTACTACTTTCTACAAAATGGGCCGTCAGCTTGTTTGCATAATTAAGTCGCTTAAAAAAAGACAGTGAACGCTAGATAACGGGCGCAGCCGCGGTAAATAGTAGATATCGTATATAAAGCGTCGTAACTAGAACACAAGAGGGTTTACAGCGGACGCATTTTATAGGTTTCTTGGTGTTTAACTTGGTCGGGATGTGGTTGGTGCGGTTTTGTTCTGGATGTGCACTTATCCGGGGAACATCTTTGTGTTCTATACTAATACTTTGTAGGTATATACAACTGTGTAGCAAATGTTTCTTTATATGTATATCCTAATACGCACATAGTGGGGGGAAAGCGATTGTTAGTGGTAGGAATCGAACAGCCTCATTGTTAGTAATATACATATGTACATTTACTTATATAATTGTGTGCATTGAAGTTTAAATAAATAAAATAAATAAATATGTACCACTTTCCATTAGGATTACCGTCAGCTTGTTTGCCATTCTAAGTTATATAAAAAAATGTACAAGTTTCTAAATAATAAACGAAGCTGAAAACATTTATATCTCAGAATATTAATTTTAAGACATTAAATCTCTTCTTCTTCTCACCAGAGGAAGACTTTGTACAAAAGTCATTTGCTTGGGCATCTCTAGCCCATTCGTGTTTCTGCCGTAAAACAGTTGTGTTTCAGTTTGATGGGTGAGATATGGCAGTGAATTTACAGGATCTAGAGGAATAAGACCTAAGTCCTCAGGAATGGTAACGCAATGAGGGTATCATGGGCAAAACAATTATATATCCATGTTACTGCTGTTATATCCATGGTACTGCTCATATCTATAGGCGACGGTTACCACTTTCCATCAGGTGGGCCGTCAGCTTGTTTTATATATAATTAAAGTATAATAAAAAATAAAAAAAAATGACTTCGAGGTGACTACGAGCAGGCTAACGCAGTGTATACATTGCAGGAGTCAGTAGATATATGTAGGTAACTAAGGACCGTTCCTAATGGCAGTCTACTGTATTATATATTACTCTTGCAGTATTAAGCTCGCCTGTCATATATCTTTATTCAAAATAAATTATGACAATGTAATTTTTGTGTACAATAAAGTATAAATAAATAAATAAATTTCAAAAAATAATATCTCAAATATATATTTTTTTATCGATGAAAGTAAAGAAGTAGTAAGGATCGAATGGAAGTGATGATTTTTGAAATTTCTACCTCATCAATAAAAAATAACGATGTCATATTATAGTAGACAGATTTAAAATCTACAATTAATTATTATAAGGTGAAGTTATGTAAAGTTGTAATCAAAGACATTTGTCAATTGTTCCCATTATGGTACTACGAACGTAATGCTCAAACGGCGAGCATATTTAAATTCAACTTGGTAAAGAACGACCCTACAGCTGTCACTTGAATTAATTTATTAGGGGTTATAGTCGTGAGAATGTTTATTTTTTTTTAATATTTGAATTTGCTCCTGCATTTTTTTTCTTTTCTTTTAATGATCATTACTTTTAGTTACGCATTAATTTACGAACGAGATATTTATCTAATTTTGGAGAGTTAGCGGTATTTTGAGGCTGTTCTAAATGTTTTTGTCCACTGGTGGTAGTGGACGTACCTATATGCAATCATCTTTGATCGCAATTACTGCAGTTTACATCATCAGATAGGTATACATCTCAGTAAGAGTAATTCTCCCGCGAATGTTCAGACTGTAGATTGAGCTCCAGACTACAGTGTGAAGTTCATCAGAAAGGGTTTTTCATTTTTTTTATACAACTTAGAATGGCAAACAAGCTGACGGCCCACCTGATGGAAAGTGGTAACCGTCGCCTATTAATGCGTTGCCATTCCTGAAGACTCAGATGTTATTCCTCTGTACCCAGTAAATTCACGCCATATCCCACCCTCCAAACCGAAACACAGCCATGCAAACACAAATGCTTCACGGTTGAAACACGAATGGGACAGAGGTACCCAAGCAATCGACTTTTGTACAAAGTTTCCCTCTGGTAAATTGTAATTTGTAATCTGTTACCTTGCTATAAATAAATAAATAACCAAAACTTCATGCATAAATACTTTTCACATTTTGAAACCACCCTGTGCCTTACTCAACATTTCATCGGACTCCGCACGTATTTTTCTTCCAATGTATCTTCCCATGCACTTTCGCTAATAAGCTGATTAACTAATGCCATTGTAGTTAGTGCGTGCGTAAGTCGGAAATCCCATGTCTTTGTATACGCATGGGATTTTTTTACGATTATTGATATTTTTAATATACTTTTAATTAAAACTCCACTGGTCTAATATACATATTAATTAGTCTAAAGAATAATTAAATTAACCTAAATTATATATATATTATATAATATTTTTAAACGATAAAAAGCGTTTATTTAAGAGTTTAATGTATAGTTGAAAGTAAAAAAAGAATATGACAATTATTATGTAGAAGTATATACAGCGGGTAGTATACTCGTATATGCAGTGTGGTTACAACATAGGAAAAGCCACCCCTACCTTTCCCATGGGTAGCATAAGAGGCGACTAAAGAAGGGCGAGGGGTGGGCAGCAGCGTCACTTTTGAAACATCTCCAAAGCCTATTTGCGGTTGTCAACCTGCCTGCCAATCGTAGCGACTACTGGAAAAATACCCTAAGGGGAGGAAGTTAATGTTCAGCAGTGGACAGTTAAAGATAAGACAAAATTTTTCCATGGAGTTGAATCCAGGAACTTCAGGTTATTATTTACGCTACGTTAGACTGTATGTGTGTGTGTGTGTATGTGTAACAGAACAAGTCTCTTTAATGTACATAGATTATTTAATTACTTGCGGTGCTAATTGGTATACTGCAACAATAAGTACAATAGCATCAGGACTATCAGATCCAATTAAGAATGCGAGTCAATTGATGGCACACACAATACGTTCAGATAGTAAGTGGGCTGAAGAAAGGGCGCCAACTGGCACGCATGCGCTACCAAAATTGTTGGGAAGACCAACAGTCACGAGGAGTTAGTGTTCGCGTAGACGTCACCAAGTGAGGACGTCGAAAAATAACCCGGTGAACGTGAACGTAACTCGAGACCTCCTATTAAAACAGCATTAGTGGTTATACGGACTGTGGAATTAAAAATGTATTAAGGTGTTGACACTTACGGGAGGTTACGAGAGCTGATGGTTGCTAGGTCGATGAACAGGTAGGGGTCGTGCAATGCGCGACGTGCGTGATGATAGCACTCGGCGTGTACGTCCTACTGACAGTGTTGGACTTCTGTGTTCCACTATATCATCACCAGTTCGCCGTACATGTGCCTGGTGGGCCTCAGCTTGCTGATGAACTGGCACATAAACACGGCTTCATCAATCATGGACAGGTAAGAACTTACAAAGTTGGTTGCGAAATAAATTATTTTACGTCGTCATCGGTTTGCGGTCAAATTTTAAATGAAAATTCGTTGTTGCTGTAAACAATTCTTTTGTATCCAGTTCTAACTGAGACTCTTAAATAACATAGGAAAAAGTGAAAATGTTTCCAGTTTATGATTCTTTTATGAGTCTTTCGTGCAATCTTATCTGAAATTACAACGAGTTCGTTGTACTTTAAAATTGAAATATTATATTCTTAAGCCTTTTTAATACATCGGAGGAAATTGGAGGGCGGAAATTTCAAGCTCCCGGAAATTAATCAAAAATTAAACTGTCGAGAGGTTTTTTAAAAGAAACTCGGGGGAAATCCGTTTGCACTTATCGTTGGAACGGACGAAACGAATAAGCCCAGTTGAAATTAGACTTGAGAACTTTGGAAAATAACTTGTATTTTTTTTTTATAAATTATTTAATAATGTACTCCGTGCAATATTTAATGAGATTGAGCATAAAATTTTCACAAATTCATATATTAGCTGTATTATGCGATTTTGAAATATGATAAAATTATATCATATTTGTTAATTTTGAATATCTGTTTGTGTAGCTTTCTTTTCATCTATTCATTTCCAAATAGAAATGAGTGATACTAAAATAAATACATCCGAGTAATAAATAATAACAAACGATTTTAATAAAAATCTTTGATTTTTTTTTAAAGGAATCCTTGTTTATTTTATTTTATTAATATGTTTTAATAATATATTTTGGAAGAGTACAAACATCTATATTATAGTATCAATGTATTATTAAAAGAAAATTAAATACCTAGTATTTACTTTCATATGTTAGAATTTGATGAAACTAATTAATTAATACATAAAATTAATTAATTTCATGCAAATTAAAACTCTTATTAAATCTAAATATTTTCTTTTTTCCGATCATTTTTTCGATCTTTCTCTCTTGTCTGCTTTTTTTTCTAAACGATGTAGACACAAATAAAATGTAAGCGTACTGTCTTAACGCCTTCATCCGTAAAGAATTTTCCATGACAAATATTCCAAGGAGCAAACTTCTCTCCCCCAATTCTCATTTCTTGGTACGCACTTTGTTTTTGTCCAGTTGTTTGTGTTGATATATTGTCTTCAACACCTGCGTAAATCATATAAATAAAACTTGTTTTTAGATGTAAATCTTAATTTATAAACATCCTATATCACGCTATTCGTTCATACTATTTTCCGAAGCCGCTGAACAGATTTTAATGAAATTCTATCTATTCTATAAATGTGGATTGTTTGCTCCAAATTGGGAGACAGGATAGTTTTTATTTGTAGTGGCAAATTAATGTTTGTCGAGTCAGTATACTTACATTTTTAAGCTACTTCCAGAAAGCGATTGTCAAGCCGTTTGATTTTTTTTTTATTTTAATGTTACACGATTATTTCATCAATTATGAACCGATTTCCGTAATTATTTTTGTAATCCATGAGGCTTACAAGCTTCAAAAAAAGCAGGTTCTCAACACGGTTGTATATTTTATTTATATATTTATTTATAACATATTATATTTATGTTTGTTACTTCATAACTCCGACAGTTATAAACTGATTTAGATTATTTTTATCTGAAAAGATATATTTACAGATGGGTCCGATAGAAATTTTATAAAAATCGATTCAATAGTTTAGTTTTGAAATCAGAATCTGAGATTTGTCGCTATTGAAGTAATTTCCTCTTGTGAAATACCATATTAAATTTTCTTAAGAATAGATAAGTGTTTAAATAGATTTTATTACGTCGCCATTTTTTCTGTTATTCTATTTGTTTTATCATAATACATGAATATATAAATAGTATCGATATTTCTAAAATTAATTCTCATTGAAACGTTAATCGAATTCTCTCCAAACAATATAATATAAGTAATTAAGTTTTTAATTAGTTTATATGAAACGGGCTGTTCAAACGATGTCGCACGCGTTAATTATCCGGTCTAATTAACAAATAGGTTAATATGTCCAAATCAACAACATCCAAATTTTAGTTCCCGTAAACTTTTCTCAGGAACGAGATGATATTTATGCTGAGGTAATCAGTATATTTCATATAAATACTGAATATTGTGTAATGTTGATTTTGAGGTACCTACCATTCTCCAAACTCACCAGAGGGAGACTGAACAAAAGTCATTTGCTGGGATACCTCTGTCCCATTCGTGTTTCTACCATTAAGCATTTGTATTTGCATGGCTGTGTTTTGGTTTGAAAGGTGGGATATGGTAGTGAATTTACAGGGTACAGAGAAATAACACCTGAGTCCTCAGGAATGGCAACGCATGGGGGGTATCATGGGCGAAACAGTATACTTTGTTATGTTTATAATACTGATCATATCTATAGGCGACGGCTACCACTTTCTATCAGGTGGGCCGTCAGCTTGTTTGCCATTCTAAGTTGGATAAAAAAAATAAGCATGAGTAGTGCTAGTTCCGCTCCGGTATCTATATATTGGTTTCTTCTAGACATTTATGGTGGCAAAAATGTCGTCACCCATTTCGTTATCATTTACATCGGTCGGATATCTATATTAATATTGATCGGCTGCTATATTTCGATATTATAAAAGTTTTTACTCTGTTGACGAATTTTTCAAAAAAGAATAGATAAATAACTAATATAGTTGTCGATGATAAATTAATCAGTTCCTATCAAAATGGGACATTTACATGCTATTCTGTAATGGCTAAATAGGCACGAAACTTTATGTAATATAAGACTACCGATACCTACCCTATTTAATGCAAATAAATTTATTATTATTATATATTACTAGTTGATTCGGTTATCGTTGTTTTACCATATACATTCTTTCTAGAAATATACATGAAAATTTATCATACTACAATTATTATATTCGATTGCCATTTTGAAACCATATTGCGGCATATAAAAACTGCGAAAAAAATAGGGGTTGATCGTAAAAGGGCGAAAATGTAAAGTTGTATTTTTCAATGCTAAATCATAATAAAATAAAAATAAAACAAATAGTTAAAAAAAAAAATTTGGGTAGGATCACCCTTATCATTGATGGGTATGAAAAATAGATGTTGGCCTATTCTCAGACCTATCCAATATGCAAACAAAATTTCATAAAAATCTATATTGTAGCTACTATAAAACATATATATATATATATTTATATATATATATATGTTTTATAGTATGTCTCAGAATCGTGTTGGTATTCTGTGTAGTTTAAACATTAAACTCTGCAAGGGACGTAGTTACCATCGCACGAATTGGCTTTACTTTGCTTCAACTTTTTTTTAATATATTACGCAGTATCCTTATTAACAGAATATTAATTTACTCAAATAGCTTATTTAAGTAGCTAATATTAACTCTTGTTAGTATATTTAGTTACTTAATACGAGTATCTAATACTTAAGTTTTTTTTTTAATAAAGTGTATTTGAAAATCTCAATGCTAATGGTTTATAACCAGTTTTTCCCTTTTATTTCACATGGAAAAAATATAACTTAATGTACATTACGTATAAAATTTGAGTTAAATTCAGCACGATGGTTTCCAGGGGGACCACGGGGGGTCGACCTGATAAGATATATAAGCAACGAGACTGGTAATCCGCATTTCTAACAATTTTGTCTTCACTATGCTTACATACGTATTAGGTAGTTTGATAAAATCTTCATGATACCGTTCGATAGATAATCGCAACGATTTTTATATGACTATGTAAGTGAGCGAGATAGTATATATTTGAAAGCAAAAATTGCCTGTAAAATTTTTTATGCCCACCATAATCGAAATTACGACCTATGAGGTTTTACTGATGACTATACTGATGTAGCAGTATAATAAATTACCTGCCATTGGTCGCGGATTCGATTCCTGCATAATACAAACATTTGTATTCATGGGTATGTCGGTTAATCACTTTGTGTTGGTTTGGGTATTTTTTTTATCCAAAATGTATAGGGATTTATGATATAGTATATAGACTATGGAGAAATATTAGTTTGATCCAATAAAAATAAATATTTTTTTTTATACAACTTAGAATGGCAAACAAGCTGACGGCCCACCTGATGGAAAGTGGTAATCGTCGCATATAGACATGAGCAGTACCATGGACATAACAGAGTATATCGTTTCGCCCATGATACCCCCCATGCGTTGCCATTCCTGAGGACTCAGATGTTATTCCTCTGTACCCTGTACATTCACTGCCATATATGTTAGTGCTATGATATACATTGAAAGTTAAAAAGATCATATTTATTTATTTATTTAAACTTTAATGTACAGTGAAACTATATACCTACATATGGCGAACTTAACACTTGTTCTCTACCAGTCAACAATTAATAATAACAATAATATCACACTCCCAGAGAGAGACTTTGTACAAAAGTCGATTGCTTGGGTACCTCTGTCCCATTCGTGTTTCAACCGTGAAGCAGTTGTGTTTGCATGGCCGTGTTTCGGTTTGAAGGGTGGGATATGGCGTGAATTTACTGGGTACAGAGGAATAACACCTGAGTCCTCAGGAATGGCAACGCATGGGAGGTATTATGGGCGAAACAGTATACTCTGTTTTTTTTAATGGATGATTATGGAATGGTAACCCCACCCGTGCTATCGGTATACACCGGCGGGGTACCAGTGAAGGATGACAGGTGAGGATGAAGCAGGTCAGTTAGCTCATCGTAACGAATTCAACAAGAATTATTCACGATAGTTTCCAGGGGAAACCACGTGGAGGTCGACCTAATAAGGCATATTGCTAGCAATGGGGCTGAGTATACTCTGTTATGTCCATGGTACTGCTCATGTCTATAGGCGACGGTTACCACTTTACATCAGGTGGGCCGTCAGCTTGTTTGCCATTCTAAGTTGTATAATAAAAAAACACACATAAAACAATGTCAAAAATATAAGTATTTATATATAATAAGCTTAGAATAGCAGAAATTTATATA